CGGGCATGTGCCCTGACTGGGAATCGAACCCGATCGCCTGGGTCCTAGGTCGACGCTCAACTGCTGAGCCACACCCTGCCAGGCTACCTCATCAGTCTTAAATGTTGAAGTGATGTCTAGAGTTGTAGCAGCTACTTTGAGGACATGAGGAATTAAGGGTAAACAAAAATTGTTTTGGATAGTGAAATAGATTTTTAAGGGGCACTTGAGGTCTTGCTCCCTGGAATATGTGGTCAGTTTTGTCCAAATAAACTCATAAAAATTCTCGATAGGTTTGAATGTTTCTTCCACTGACATTTACTTGGCATAATCAGCAGGATTTCAAAGAAGCCCACCCAGGACCACCCTGCCGACAGGACGCTGTGCTAGGTACAGGCAAGGGCTCACTGTGCCCCACCGGCTCCCCACTTCACACCAGGAGAACCTGGGTGAGGTTCTCTTGGAATTCTGGTGCTCCTTGCCTTAAGTAGCAGGCCATGACTTTATTAGAGATGTTCTTGGAAAATCCTACTGGTTGATAAAGGTTGAAATAACCCAGGGAAAGGGAAATAAAAGGTTGCTGCTATTAATTTTGGCTTTTAATTGGATTGCTTAGTGAGAGTTGGAACAAAATCTCGGACTCTCAGGGCCATTTCCCATCTTCTCCCTAACCCTAGTATCTCTGAAACATGTTTCTGAGTTCTTAGTTTTTACTTGTTTGTTTCTATAGATTTTTAATTTTGAAAAGTAAGAAAATCTTGAGGTATTAATAAAAAGAACCACAAGTGGGAAGTCGCAGAGTTATACCAGTCTCTGCCAGCACTAGTATGTATGTAGGTCTACCTTATTTAGTGAGAAGAACTGAGCCGCTGCCTGATCCAGTAATAGAGCCTGACCCTGTGGAGACGGGCACACAGCAGGAATAGAGAGCCGTGGCCCACGCACTTTGGCCAGAGTCCCTGTGGAATCCAAGCTCTTACAGATGCGGCGGCGAGGCCTGGAACATGACATTCGCTCCAGCTACCATAGTATCCAAGGGGGCTTTCACCTGTTGTGCTTAGGAAAACCGCCCATCTAATTCTTGAGAATCAAAAGACTTCTGCTGGGAGCAAATGTTACTAATAGAAAGAGGCCAGAACAAAGTAAACAAAATGGATTGTCGTGGTCCTGCCAACTGAGGGAAAGTGGTGTGGTGGGCTGGCTCTCACTGCGGCTGGTTCATCCTGGCTGTTTGGGGGTAGCCCTAAAGGAGGTGCCCCTATAGATGCCCCTGGTCTTCGTTCAAGGCCTAGCCGAGACAGGTCTCCCCTACCCTGGAGATGAGAAGAGAAAACAGAAAGCCAAGTGCAAGCACCCAGGGGTGACTGCTCGCTTCAGAAGATGTGAATGGGGAAGCCTGATCATGCCCTGTGAGCTGCTCACTGGCCAGGAAGAAGCTAGGATGTGGCCCTGACGCTCCCTGCTGACCCCCCCAAACCTGCAGGAACAGGGCCACGCAACCACAAAACGAGGTCACCACCCCTACTACACAGGAACTTCTGTCCGAGGCAGCCAGAGCCTTGCTTTGACCCACTCCCTCCCCTGTCTCATCTCTACCCCACCCCTGCCCTGCCCATTCAGAAACTACAAGTCCCAGCATGCAGCGTGGCCGAGGGAGGGGGGCACAGGGCTCTGTAGCCCAGGGCCTTGTGGGATAGGTAGTGTTCCCAGGTACAATGATCTAAGCGGTCCAAATTTCACAAGTTGTTTTTGACCATAAGTCTCAGAGGCTAAAAAGTCTGAGAAGCAGCCGCCGGGGTGTAAGGGGCCAGAGGACCCATTCCCCAGCCTCCCTCTATGACCTCGCTGCTCTCCCCACTCCTCTCCCAGACCTCGCAGCCTGTTGGCCCCCTGCCTTCCTCCGGCTCCTTCGCACGCTCATGCACCCTGAGGGGGCCTGTGGCACACAACTGCATCGTGTCACTCATCTTTTCAGACACCATCAGTGGCTCTCTCTTCCTTATTGGGCGCCAGTTAAACTCCTTTAAGTGGCAGCCAAGAACCCAGCCCTCCTACAAGAGCTTATATTCTGACCCCGTCAAACCCAAAGTCCCCAAGGTCTCAGCCTCTCTCTCCTTTGTGTCCTTGCCAGAAGCCTCCTCTGCCCACAAGCCACTAGAGCCACTGCCAGTGCCCACAGTCCAAACGTCAGGGCATCTGCACTGACACACCCAGCCCCGCCCAAACCCCGGCTCTGGAGCCGGGCCCTTCAACTCCTCCAGTCCCTCCTTCCAGCCGGCCCCAGCCTGCCCGGTGGGAGAAGTCCCGCTGCAGGGAGGGCTGTGCTCCTGGCGCCCTCGGCGGCAACCTGGCACAGGAACGCTCGTAAAATAGGGGTTTGTGGATTGGCCAGGGCACCCAACAGCCGTGTATGAGTGTTATTTGAGTGACTTTGTGGCATTGTTTCCGTGGAGAAAAGCCCTCTGAGCGCAGAGCATCTAACCAAAAGTGATCTTTGGGGACACTCCCCTTGGTGCTCCAGGGACGACCTCTGTGGGTTTGGCTCCAATTGCAGAGAGAGCGCTGAGAAACCTCAGCTCTGGCGGGGCTTGCCGGGGAGTGGGTGCAGGCGAGAGGAGTGGGGAGCGTCTCTTTAGGTCTGGTCATCCCTTCAGCAGAGTCCTGGGAGGGAGGCGGGAAGGAAGGTGGCTTGTCTGAAGCCTTCAGGACTCGGAGATTGAGACGGAGGGTGTGGGTGATCCCAGAAGCTCGTGCGTCGCCTCACCCCAAATAGACGAGGTCGGGGGCTTCCCCTCGACTCGGCCCCTCCTACGTTGGGCACAGTGGGAGGGAGGATTCAGTGGGTGACCTTAGGGGCTGTGTTTTTCCCCTGGCCCTTTCGCGGGCGTAGGTCTTGGCGCTTACACCAGGGGGCAGCAGAGGCGGAGGCGCGCGGAGCCCGAGGGGCGGGCGCCGGGGGAGGGGGGTTCACCCGCCGTCGGTTTTCCTGCGCAGGCTGCTAGACACCCCACCTCCCCGCTCCCGGGAGCGCTTTCTGCACAGAGGAGTTAGCTCCAACACTCCAGGGTTTGGGGTTTTGTCCTTGGGATCAGGCGATCAAGGTGGTGCCGTCGGAGATCCAAGGGAGGAAGTAGTGGGGGGGCGGTCCCTCCTCCAGTTCGGGGGTGCAAGGCAACCCCGGGGCGGACGCAAAACCAGAACACACCCGTGCACACGCGCATACACCCGTCCCCCTCCTGCCCTGCAGCTAGGCGTCCAGCAGGGAAGGGGTGTCCCGGCTGGGACGAGGCCCTAGAATAAGCTTTAATCTACTGCCAGACGGGCGGAGCCAGGAGCGCTGTTGGGTGAGGCCCCGGGAGAGGCAGGCGGCCAGCGAGGGATGCCCGGCCGCGGGGCCGCGCTGAACCGAAGGGACCGGCCGGGTCCTCGCCGCGGACCGCGCCGAGCTACACGCAGAACAAGCCCTGGGAAAGGCCGCAGGGGTGGGGGGGGCACCGAGCGTGCGGCTGGGGCAGCCTGTGCATCCCAAGGGCAAAGCCTGGAATGATGCAGACGCCAACACCTGCGGGGGCACAGCTCCCGCCGCCCA